AATGACCTCTCGAACTCCGATAGATGGCGGTTTGGCCGTGGAATGGAAAAGGGGAGATCTCCCGCCGGGCAAGGTGTTCAATCCGGGCAGTTGCTAACGGTCCGAGTGGTAGTTCGGAGCTATTCTATATATACGTGTTTCATGATGTATTTCGCTTGTGGCGCGACGACAGCGCCGTCACATCACCCCCCTGCTCAGGCCGGAGGTCGATAGTGCAGTCCGATTGCCGGTGCGTCCTTAATACCGGCGACAAATGCACGCTGTGTGCGTAAGGGCAAGTGACGCCGCGCCGGTGCGAAGGATATGCCGATGTGTAATGCATGCCATACTACGCATTTTCAAGTGATGCCGGTGAGAACGATGTGCCGGAACAAGTGCCAGAAGTCTGCCTAATAAATTTGTGGTGAGTCGAGATGAAGACAAGTTGGACTGGCTTACAGGAGCTGGAGATGCAGAAGACGATTCTTGGAAGTGAATGGTAGAGGTCCTTGAGGATAATTAATGACGAAGGTTTGAAGCTGTAGTTTTTCCGGAGGTTGTTGGTTGCGTGTTCAGATCACGTCGGGGTCACCAGTTTGGCCGTGAAATGAAATAGGGAGATATCCCACCGGGCAAGGTGTAGAGCCCAGGGAGTTGACAACGCTCCGAGTGGCTGTTTGAAGCTATTGTATATATACCTGCTTTACTTCGGAACTTTGATAGCGTGATTTAGGCTTCGATGTGTTTCGCTTGTGACGTGACGGTAGCCCCGGTACAACGGAACAACTATCTCGTTTTTGCCAGGTGAAAAATACTTAGGCCAACTACGGGCAGCAGCATCAAAAGTATCAAACGTATTATAATATATCGATAATGCGATGATGCCCATACCCCCCTGCCCTACCCCTAAATATTGCCACAAAGCACGGTTCTGAGTCTGTTGCATCCATCAATTCCCTCCATAATTCAGAGGTCCTTAGGCCTGCCACATACATACGGAACTCCGTTTCGGGATTCCGTTTCGATATTGTGCTTCGGAATTCCGAATGCAACAAGTCCATATAAAATCTATGACTCGTCCCACACGCACGGTAGTTTTCCGTTCGGAATTCCGAAACGGAATTCCGTATGTATGTGGCAGGCCTTACTGTATTTAGTGGCACGCCATTCAACATGCCAGTATGAGGCTGCCACTCGAGAACCTTTCTCCCCATCAGTAGTCAATTCTTCATGTATATTGCCGGTCAGTTGCCACTGCAGACTACTGAACCGTTAAAAAACCGTATCAAATACAAAATAATACAATAACAGTCGGCATTGTTATAGCCGTGTCCACATTAAGCGATCGTTAAGGAAAACTCAATTGTCTAAATTAGCCAATATTTTTAACAAGAGTCAGATTAGCGTCTGATATTAGCGGCTTACTCCCTGATTGTACCGGGCAATATCACGATGAACTATCAAAATTAAACAAATCCCTGCCGCGATTAGCTTAATGAAAACAAAAAATATTGCCAGGTCGGGATTAGCTGAATTGACGTAAACCTAAATGACGATAGTAGGCCGCTGGAAAAAGGAATTAATTAGTTGATTGAGTGAAGTTGTTATTTTAGAAAAAGCTGGAGAGCTTATTTGTCGAAAATAGAACTAATTAACAAAACATTTTTATCGTCTACTGAATAGTGAAGTGAAGTTACAGCATATACGCGTCCACGGCTGGACACATGCTTTTTAGGGCTCCGTAAACAAAGGGTAACCAACGGGACCCTATTACAAAGCCTCCGCTGTCCGTCTGTCCGTCCATCCGTCCGTCTGTCAGCGGGCTGTATCTCCGAAATAGGTAGACATTTGAAATTTTCACAGAATATGTATTTCTGTTGCCGCTATAATAACAAATAATTAAAATTAGAATAAATTAAAAATTAAAGTAGACTCCCCTACCAGAAACGTGTATTACGATGATACGGAATCCTTCATGCGCAAGTCCGACTCGCATTTGGCCGGTAATTTAATTTTAGAAAGTGGTTTTGTTACATCATCATCATATATAGGTAGATAGATAGATAGTTGATAAATCATAAATTTTATTTGTTAGCACACGTAAAAGTTCCCGCTCCGAGCTCCGTCAAGAGAGCCATAATGTCCATCCATTCAAATTCAATGGGTATTGACTGTATAAGTTAGAAAGTGGTCATCCCTCTCATTGATCTCCTTTCACCTGTAATCACTTCAATCCTGAATAATTCACTGAATTCTGCTTTTTCCTCTTCAGCTTGAAAAGATGCATTTGTAGTTCCTCTTTCGAAAATGTCAAAACCATCCAGTTTTTTTGATTACAGACCTATCTCTATTTTGCCTTCCTTTCCAAAGTTCTAGAACGCCTTGTGCATAATCAATTAAGCACCTATCTTTTAAAACATAATGTTTTAAATCCTTTGCAATCCGGTTTCCGTCCCGGTTATAGTATGGCTACTGCACTTTTACAAATCACCGATGATATTCGATATGGTATGGAGAAACAAAAGCTTACAATTCTTACGTTGCGGGACTTTAGTAATGCATTTAATAGTGTAGATTTTGATATCTTGTTAGGAATCCTGCGCTCTCTCAACATATCTCCAACTGTAGTTGACTGGTTTCGAAGTTAACTGTTTGGTCGCCGACAACGCATTCAGGTGCAAGATGTTTTTTGCACCTGGACTACTACAGCGGTTGGTGTATCACAAGGTGCCGTTTTGTCTCCTCTCCTGTTTGCAATTCGCATTAACTCTATAAGTCATAATTTGTCCTCTTCTTAACATTTGTATGCTGATGATCTGCAAATCTGTATTCAGTCCTCTCTTGAAGATTTGTCTAAAGTAGTTGACACTATTAACGCTGGTCTGACTTGTATTTCGAACTGGAGTAACTGTTATGGTTTAACGATTAATCCTAAGAAAAAACAGGCTATTGTCATCGGTAGTTCTAGTTTAAAAGGAAAATTTGACTGGTCTTCCCTATCTCCTATTATACTAGACACTCAAGTCCTTTACCTCGACTGTGTTGTATCTCGATTCCCGCGTTAAGCTCTTTACGTAGATTACGAAATTTTCTTCCCACAGTAATTAACGTTACGCTCGCCCAGTCTCTTCTTCTGCCTGTCCTTGACTATGCTGATATTTGCTATCTTGACATTACCTAGGAGCAGTTTAATAAGCTTGACCGCATTCAAAATGTATTTATTAGATTTATATTTGGGCTCCGCAAATACGATCACATCTCTGAATTTCTTTTTTTTCCTAGGAGATATGAATTTAATTAATTTTTTAAACAATACAGGAGACGGGTACAACAGGTACAAATTACAATATACATAACTTATATAACTTGTGAGACATTCATGCATCTGTAGCCTACTTCTTCTTCTTCATGACTATAATTATAATATTATTATTATTTAGCTATTTGACGCTGGTCCTTCTCAGGTCGACCCGACCGTGTTGCAGATTGCGGTCATAATACGTCATAATAATTTATCACTTAATAAAACCGCACATGGAATGTTAAAATTATAAAAATCGTTATAATTTCGATATAGCCGCACTTGTAATGTGAAAATTACAAAAATATTTAAGATTCGCGACTTGTAATTATGCGCCTACACTATCTTTCACAAATTAGTTTAGATGATTTCAAAATAAGGACGAGGTTATCATTACGACTGTATGTTCTTTTTAACCGTCTTCAAAAAGGAGGAGGTACTCATTTCGACTGTATGTTTTTTTATGTGTGATATCTCATAACTTTTTTTCTAGGTGAACCGATTTTAATGATTTTATTTATTTGGAAGCTGGTAATTCTCTGGTGGTCCCATATAAATTTGATCAATGTCTGACCAGTAGTTTTTAGTTATCCTTAATAATTTATATTGAAGTCGCTTGTACAAACTTTTTTTACCTCTTGCATCGATATATATGTACTACGATATATATGTACTTCGATATATATGTACTACGTACGTAGTACATATAACTCAATGACCTCTTGTTTTATAAACTGATTTGAATGATTCTCTTTTTATTAAATAGTTTGTACTTCAGAGGTGGTCCCAAACAAATTTTAAGAAATAGTTGCTACTCCTTGCTGCCCCTAAGGGTGGAAAAATAGAAGATGAAGACTTTTATGCAAGTTTTTAGACGATTATCTAGTTTTATTAGTTATTACACATTCGCGTTACCTTGAACTTGTGATACATCTCAGACCACATAAAAGAGTAAGATGATTATAAAACTTTTAATAACGACTTTCAAATATTTAATCGACTTTAAATTCGAATTCGAATTTAATCGAATTTAAAATAAACGAAATATTCGGATGTTCATTGTGGAAGTCACTAGGTGGTCCTTTTCGGCTTAGGAGTCCGTCTGGGTGGATAACACCTTCTCACCTGGCGCCATTGAGTTATATGTATTACGTACTAGAGAAGCCATTCTAAACAAAAAATGTGCACTACTTAGTCTTCGCGCATGCGCGGGAGATAGTAGAGTCGCGCATACGCAGTTGCGCCACCACAGACTAACTAGTAGATTGAAACCACACTAAATGACACACTGTACGGATTGCAGTACAGTTCAGTTGAACATAGTGTGTGTCCGGAATGCGAAATCTAGTACATAGTACATATATATTGATGCCTGGCGCTAAGTAACAGTGGTTACAATGCTGTGTTCTAGTCAAACTTTAGAACCAATATAACTACGGGCTATCCACCAATATAGTCCTAGGCATATTATCTTCGACAAGCATATCAACTTACTCATCACTATCTGAGGCATTTCATCTTAGTCTTCAATGGTAACTACGCATCTGTAGTCTTTTTAAGTTCGCTTCGTGTGTCCCTAGACTGCAGTAACCACTTACTATCAGATGGGCTGTACGTTCGTTTGTCACTTCAGTTGTATAAATTTAAAAAAAAGACGTGGGTATGTTCGAAATTTATAATAGTAATTAATAATTGAATTGCAAAACTTTTCCTTTTTCAGTAACGTCCGAACGGAGATCATAACACCCGGTGTAAGCGGTGTGTTCAGGCAGGTATGTATGGTAGGTATTCTTTCCTGGAGTGTTCAATGTTACTAACGTTAATACTCGCATCTTCAGTACTTTCACTATTAGCTTTTCTTTGTCTTATTAACACCGAGCAAATTGTTATTACACCCCAGGTATGTTTTTATTATTATTTTTTAATCAGTTCATTATTAAGTTATACCTACCTACTAATGGCCTTTTAATAATTTTAAAAATATAAATTTTCGTAGTTGTTCGAATCGGCTAGGACAGAAGCAGCCAGAAGTCATACAAATTTTTTCTTCGGTTGTTTTAAAGCCAAGTAAATTGATAAACTACTCGATTTAACTTACTGTTCCAACTCCAATAGTAATAAATAGGTCGGGGAAAAGTTTCTTCAAATTTTTTTTAATCAAATTGTAGAAAAATCTCTTTAGTTGTATTTTAATATCAATACATTGTTGGCTGGTTTTAATATTTAAAAACTTTCCCGCCATTTTTCTGTTATTTTTTTGTCCGCCAAAATGAATGAACCTAACGAAGAAATTCGATACATTCTAAAGATTTATTACAAAAAAGGGAAAAAAGCTACTCAAACCGCGAAAAATAATACAGTGTCAGTAAGGGTAGCACAAAGTTGGTTCAAGCGTTTTCAGTCCGGGAATTTTGATGTCAAAGATGCAGCTAGCTCTGGTCGGCCTCATACGGATAAAGTCGATGCCATTTTTGAAAAAGTGGAGCAAGATCGGCATATTAGTAATTAAAATATAACTGAGGAATTGAAGATTGACCACATAATAGTTTTGACTCATTCGCAAAATTCTGGCTATACAAAAAAGCGTGACATTTGGGTACCACACGAGCTCACTGAAAAAAACTTAATGAATCGTGCACTCATTTACGATTCTCTATTGAAACGTAATGAAACCGAACTATTTTTGAAAAGATTGATAACTGAAGATGAAAAATGGATCATCTACGACAAGAACGTACGAAAAAGATCATGGTCAATGGGTAGTCAAGCTCCACAGACTACATTGAAACCCGGATTAACACGCAATAAGGTGATGTTATGTGTGTATGGTGGGATTGGAAGGACATCGTTTATTATGAGTTTTACTGTCGGGCAAAACCATCGATTCGGATCTCTACTGCCAACAACTATTGAAACTCAAGCAAGAAGTTCAGAAAAAACTGCCGGAATCGACCAACAGAAAAGGAGTGGTCTTTCATTATGACAACGCCAGACCCCAAACAGCTTTGGCCACACAGCAAAAATTAAAAGAGCTTGTTTGGGAAGTGTTAATGCATCCACCATATAGACCTGACCTTGAACCTCATATTTTCACCGGCTTCGGTCTCTTCAGAATTTTTTGTGTGGTGTTAGGTTAACATCAAGAGAGGACTGTCAAAACTACTTGTCGCATTTTTTAATCAAAAATCGCAAGATTTCTACAGCAACGGGATTATGTCACTACCTACAAGATTTACTTATTTTGTATATTATAATCAAATATGGTTAAACTTAAAAAAAATTCTTGTATTTGTATATAAAATATGAAGAAACTTTTTCCCCGACCTAATACAATATATTTTTGCTCATTCTTTAACTTAATGTGTACGTACATTTTTGTAAAATAAATTCATTTGTTTTCCTTCTTTCTTTTTCCTTTTTTTTTCCTTTCTAGTCTTTAAACTTTTATAAGATGTTAAAACCAATCAATTGCATGTATGACTGAAAAAACTTTGTAATATCAGTAATATTGAATGCACCAAAAAAAAAACGAAAAACAAACTTCTTAACAATTACTCTGGATTACAAAAACACAGGGCTTCTTGAATCGTAAACTTCAATGATAGCGAAGGGAACAATATTCCTTTTGAAAGTTTTGGATCATAAAGTAATGCGACAAAATATAAAGAACAAACTAGTATTGCTAACAACATTAAGCACAAGCAATTTTAAATTATGTTCATATTTATTTTTAATAAAAAAATCCAAAACTCTTTCATCGTAAACTCCTTAGTCATCATATTACCATTACAGCCATTCACATATCCACTGCTGAACATGTGTCTCCTCCAAAGAAAGCTACAACGAACGGTCCTGAGCAACCTGCGTCCATCGACTTGCTTTTCTTAATTTCTTCCTACCGACTCTCTAAATACCAAAACATAAATTCTACAAATTTCAAATCAGTAGCAATAGTCACTAGTCATTAGTTAACGCTATCTTAAAAAATGGACACAACATATTATGTGCAACAAAAGGCGGACAGACTCGTCAAAAAGGATCCGAAAGGGCTTTTTTAAATGAAGAACCATTAAATATTCACATCATGTTATATCAAAGCGCCGCTTTTTAAGCAAGCATTGCTCGGTCATTATATTTTATGAAAAAAATATTCGGCATTGCTGGCACGGAACTGCGCCACGGAGAGTTCAGCAAGTGAAATGCCAATCGTGAGGTTCACGCTCTGAGCATTGTTTATAGCCGTTGAAAAGCATAAACCCACCAACATCTGGATTCGTTTAATCCGCAACAAGAAATTATAATGCAAATTATTGTAATTTCTAGTATTTCTGGGATAAAAGCCCCATTTCACTGATACCAGAGGTGTTCCCTGCGTCTACCAAGTTATTTTACCATCAAATTATAAAACAGTGACATTTTTGGCAAACGTTAAAACTAATTCTAAGAGGTAACGCGGGCGTCAAGACATTTGGAAAATAGTTTTGTAACAGATCTATTGCTTTCTTGCTACGTACGAATGACAAAACTAGACAAACCTATGCAAAACTGACACTGACACTGACGCTTCTTCCAACAAAACTTAACAGAGCTTAATTATTTTCTACCGACTTCAAAAGGACACGGTACTTAATTCGACTGGATGTTCTTTTTTTGGTTTTTTTTAAACGTGTTACCTCATAACTTTTTTCTAGGTGAACCGATTTCGATGAACCTTTTTTTATTTGAAAGCTGGTGTTTTTCATGTAGTCCTATACAATTTAATCAAGGTCTTTTTATTGAAAAATTTATATTGATGTTAGTTGTACAGCATTTTTTAATTTGAATTAATTAAAAAATTATTATTATGTACAACAAGAACAATATAAGAAGGTTTGTGGCATCTGTATGTTTTTCTTTTATTTTTGTGTTGCTGATTTTATTTGCCGGATGTCTGGATTTTTTGCGGTATAAATACATAATTTTAGTAATTTTATAGGGTTGCCAACTTTATAAAATAATTAATTTATAGAAAACACCAAAACTTAGGAATATGTTTTATTACATTAGACTGACACCCACTACCGATTCTTAGTAGTTGATGAATAATAATATGATTTATTTTTGTATGATTAAAGTCGAAATTTAAATAATAATGGCCGTAGCTACAAAAAAAACGTATCACCCACGGAATGCCTTGACAGCTCTTGGGATGGATCGACAGTCTTCGGGATGCCTCGGCAATCCTTGGTAGGCAGAGCCGGATACGGTAATTTAATTTTTGCTTCCAAAGATTAACATGTTCTAAAATCGTTTTGAAATAAAATCTTCTTTAGAATCGTGGTGCTTTGAAACTCGATGATACAAAAAAGCGACACCAAGTGAAACAAACATATATATCTAGGTATAGGATTTAGTCTGCAATACAGTGTGTGACTACACTTGAAGGGCACAGGAAAAGAAGGAGCTCATTAACATTCTCATTGTTTCGATTAATTAAAGAATTAAACCTAAAATTTCAATTTCTACACTTACAACTCTACTAGAATATGATTTGTACCCATATAAAAAAGGAACAGTGTATATTTAACATAATATATTGTTATTTTAGAACATTGGGTTGGTAAATAAACAATAGTTTGTAATTTAATTACCTAACTCCCAAATGTAAAAGCCAAGAAGGTGCTCATTGTAACAATGATCTCCTTTTTACATTTTATAAATTAATCGGTGATCATAAACAATGTCTAATTACATAAACACACTAATGAAATAAAATACATGTTAATTAGCATGAAATTTATTTGTAGGGTAAGTTAATATATTCGGGTAAAATTAATTTTAAAGATGAAAAAAGAACCGGGGCCCTACAAACAGCAGTAACGGCAGAAAATTTATGAACTACTGAAATGTTGGTGCGAGAAGACCCACGAATCACATATACGGATATCGAAAAGATTGTAAGCATTAGTTCGGGCCGCATTCATACCATCCTTCATCAACATCTTGAAGTGAGGAAGCTTTGTTGTCGATGGATCCCTTGTTTAATCTCCGAAAGCGAAAAACATACTCCTGTCGATTGGTGCCATAAAACGCGTCTACGTTTTGAAAACGGGGCATCTAGGCGTGTTTCAGAAATCGTTATTGGTGACGAGACATGGATCTATCAATATGATCCGGAAAATAAAAGGCAATCATCGGTATAGGTCTACTCAGAAGGGAAGTTACTGACAATATTGCAAAGACCTCGCAACGTCGGCAAAAAAATGGTGGCTAGTTTTTTTTCGCGGAGCGCACATTTTGTTGACGTCAATGCTAGAAAATTGTAGGTCAGTCAACTCTGAATCGTATACTACAGTTGCATTACCCAAAGCTTTTCAAGCTGTGTGGGAGAGAAGACCAAAGACCGAGCTTCGGAGAATCATGCTGCATCACGATAACGCCTCTTCACATACCTCCCTTAGAACAAAATCATTTATTGAGGAATCTGGTGTTGAAGCCGTAGCTGCCTACGAAGAAGCGATTTCCGACCTGTCAGATCAAGACTGACAAAAGTGTTTTCAGAGATGACTTAGGCGAATGGAACTTTGTATAGAGCATGATGGAGAATATTTTGAAAAGATGTAAAATAAATATTAATAATATCTAGAATATTTTTCGTATATCTTAAAACTTATTGAGTGTCCTACGTATTATTGTCCAGTTTGAGATAAATAAGCAAAAACGTTTAAAAACCTAACGTACACTAAAGGAGTCGTAAAATTTATGCAAGGAAGCTTATCTGGCAGCTGCCATT